GAGTTATGATCCATGGGGTCCAATTTCTAATGGACATCGAATCGCCGAAAAAGTTCGCGGGTCATCAGTGTTGCGCGAAAGCTTACGAGAAAATCGTTACGGTGGCTCCATCGTTTGCCATGAACGCAAACAAAATCCATTGTTTTAAAGTTTGGCTGTGGTTTTGCCAATAAGAATCGGAAATCGCACTTTTAAGGTGACTTAAAATTAGAAAAATACCCCCTTTAATACTATTAAATAGTATATTTTACGTAAATCTGAGATAGGTGGGGCCGTCTGCTAAGGGGTCCCCCCAGATCTTTTGACCTGGACCCTGAGAATTTTTTTTAGAATTTTTTCAATTTTTTTCCCAAAATTTTCAATATTCAGATTTCAAACTGAAATAAGTTTTTGAAAAATCATGAAACTGACATCATTTTAAAATAAAATCAATATCATACTGTTTTATTTAGTAGTTCCTGTAAGTTTTTAACGCAAAAAATGCACCTACCTCAGAAGTAGAATTTCGTAAAAAATGCCCACCTTGTTAAAGTTGACAAATAAATCTTGCTGTTTTTAAGCAAATTTTGGTTATTGCATATCGTTCGAAAGGGCACGAATTTAAGATGTTTTTGACTAATTAGAAATACTCGATCATTATACACAGGGTGTTTCCTGAGTACGGTTTGTAACTTCAAGATGTGATTCCTTACAATGCAATATTTTAAGAAAAAAAGTTCCCATAAACATGTGTCCGGAAATGCGCGGTTTCTGAGATACAGGGTCTCAAAGCTTTAGGAAAAATCGTTTTTTTTAGCTCAAAAATCCCTTTTCCAATTTTTTTTTCAAATTTGGCAGGTTTGTTTGTGATAACGGAAGGTATCTTTTGACTGTAATATGACTTGCTTAATCTGAAAAATATATCAAAGGTTTTAAAAAAGAGTGACGTGCCATTTTTTTTTCCACTTTTACCAAAATACCCTGTATATTTTCTGAAAATTGATAGTAAAAAAGTTTCCCATATGCTGTGAACTTAAGTGGACACATTGTATATAGTTTTGTTACATTTTACGGTGTGTTTTCGCCACGGTATCCAGATTAACGCCGCCACCAGGATGTCAAGAATCCAATTTAGATTCGGGATGTTTGCGGTATTTTACGAAATCTATGAAAAAAGGCACTGAGAAAAATTGAAAAATTGATAAATCACCCCAAATTGCTTAACACGATTTTATCTCAGGAACTATAAACCCAAATGAGTTGAAATTTTCAGGGATTGTAGTCCTCTACTGGAATAAGAATCGTTGAAAATTTCAGCTTTATATCTTTAATGGAAAAAAAGTTATGACCTTCCAAATTTTTCCAAAATCTAAATCATAAGGTAGGTAGGTACCTTCCTACTAAATGGATGCATCTTCTTAGTTCTTACTAAATGGATGAAATTTCATTTTTTTTTTTTGTTGCGATTTTGTGTCCTAATGGTCATTTGGGATACCCCAAACACCATACACTAAATTATTCTCAGATTTGAAGCCGAAATCTATGAAAAAAGGCACTCAGAAAAATTGAAAAATTGATAAATCAACCCAAATTGCTTAACACGATTTTATCTCAGGAACTATTAGTCCAAATGAGTTGAAATTTTCAGGGATAGTAGTCCTCTACTGGAATAAGAATTGCTGAAAATTTCAACTTTATATCTTCAATAGAAAAAAAGTTATGACCTTCCAAAGTTTTCCAAAATCTAAATTTACTAAATGGATGAAATTTCGATTTTTTTTTGTTGAGATTTTGTGTCCTAAATGGTCATTTTGGATCCCCCGAACTCCATACACTAAATTATTCTCAGATTTGAAGCCGAAATCTATGAAAAAAGGCACTCAGAAAAATTGAAAAATTGATAAATCACCCCAAATTGCTTAACACGATTTTATCTCAGGAACTATAAGTCCAAATGAGTTGAAATTTTCCGGCACTGTAGTCCTCTACTGGAATAAGAATCGCTGAAAATTTCAGCTTTATATCTTTAATGGAAAAAAAGTTATGACCTTCCAAATTTTTCCAAAATCTAAATCATAAGGTAGGTAGGTACCTTCCTACTAAATGGATGAAATTTCAATTTTTTTTTTGTTGAGATTTTGTGTCCTTATGGTCATTTGAAATCCCCCAAAGTCCATACACTAAATTATTCTCAGATTTGAAGCCAAAATCTACGAAAAAAAGGCACTCAGAAAAATTGAAAAATTGATAAATCACCCCAAATTGCTTAACACGATTTTATCTCAGGAACTATAGGTCCAAATGAGTTGAAATTTCCAGGGATTGTAGTTCTCTACTGGAATAAGAATCGCTGAAAATTTCAGCTTTATATCTTTAATAGAAAAGAGGTTATGACCTTCCAAAGTTTTCCAAAATCTAAAACATTAGGTAGCTACCTTCTTACTAAATGGATGAAATTTCAAATTTTTTTTTTTGTTGAGATTTTGTGTCCCAATGTTCATTTGGGATCCCCCAAACTCCATACACTAAATTATTCTCAGATTTGAAGCCGAAATCTATGAAAAAAGGCACTCAGAAAAATTGAAAAATTGATAAATCAACCCAAATTGCTTAACACGATTTTATCTCAGGAACTATTAGTCCAAATGAGTTGAAATTTTCAGGGATAGTAGTCCTCTACTGGAATAAGAATTGCTGAAAATTTCAGCTTTATATCTTCAATAGAAAAAAAGTTATGACCTTCCAAAGTTTTCCAAAATCTAAATTTACTAAATGGATGAAATTTCAAATTTTTTTTTGTTGAGATTTTGTGTCCTAATGTTCATTTGGGATCCCCCAAACTCCATACACTAAATTATTCTCAGATTTGAAGCCGAAATCTATGAAAAAAGGCACTCAGAAAAATTGAAAAATTGATAAATCAACCCAAATTGCTTAACACGATTTATCTCAGGAACTATTAGTCCAAATGAGTTGAAATTTTCAGGGATAGTAGTCCTCTACTGGAATAAGAATTGCTGAAAATTTCAGCTTTATATCTTTAATAGAAAAAAAGTTATGACCTTCCAAAGTTTTCCTAAATCTAAATCATAAGGTAGGTACCTTCCTACTAAATGGATGAAATTTCAATTTTTTTTTTGTTGAGATTTTTTGTCCTAATGGTCATTTGAAATCCCCCAAAGTCCATACACTAAATTATTCTCAGATTTGAAGCCAAAATCTACGAAAAAAAGGCACTCAGAAAAATTGAAAAATTGATAAATCACCCCAAATTGCTTAACACGATTTTATCTCAGGAACTATAAGTACAAATGAGTTGAAATTTTCAGGGATTGTAGTCCTCTAGTGGAATAAGAATCGCTGAAAATTTCAGTTTTATATCTTCAATAGAAAAAAAGTTTTGACCTTCCAAATTTTTCCAAAATCTACCTTCTTCTTCTTCTTAGTAAATGGATGAAATTTCAATTTTTTTTTTGTTGAGATTTTGTGTCCTAATGGTCATTTGGGTTCCGTCAAACTCCATACACTAAATTATTCTCAAATTTGAAGCCGAAATCTATGAAAAAAGGCACTCAGAATAATTGAAAAATTGATAAATCACCCCAAATTGCTTAACACGATTTTATCTCAGGAACTATAGGTCCAAATGAGTTGACATTTTCAGGGATTGTAGTCCTCTACTGGAATAAGAATCGCTGAAAATTTCAGCTTTATATGTAACTTTAATAGAAAAAAAGTTATGACCTTCCAAAGTTTTCCAAAATCTAAATCATACCTTCTTACTAAATGGATGAAATATTATTTTTTTTTTTGTTGAGACTTTGTATCCTAATGGTCATTTGGGATCCCTCAAACTCCATACACCTAATTATTCGCGAATTTGAAGCCGAAATCTATGAAAAAAGGCACTCAGAAAAGTTGAAAAATTGATAAATCATCCCAAATTGCTTAACACGATTTTATCTCAGGAACTATAAGTCCAAATGAGATGACATTTTCAGGGATTCTAGTCCTCTACTGGAATAAGAATCGCTGAAAATTTCAGCTTTATATTTTTAATAGAAAAAAAGTTATGACCTTCCAAAGTTTTCCAAAATCTAAATCATAAGGTACCTTCTTACTAAATGAATGAAATTTTAAATTTTTTTTTGTTGAGATTTTGTATCCTAATGGTCATTTGGGATCCCCAAACTCCATACACTGAATTATTCTCGAATTTGAAGCCGAAATCTATGAAAAAAGGCAGTCAGAAAAATTGAAAAATTGATAAATCACCCCAAATTGCTTAACACGATTTTATCTCAGGAACTATAATTCCATGTGAGTTGAAATTTCCAGGGATTGTAGTCCGCTACTGGAATAAGAATCACTGAAAATTTCAGCTATATATCTTTATTAGAAAAAAAGTTATGACCTTTCATGCTTGAGCCGACAAGGTAGACGACAAATATTTATTAACCAATTTGTTTTAATTTCTCTATAAAAAAAAAAATAATTTCGACGCTTATGGATTCCCACTTCAAACAGGTCGACAATGACTCGCCTTTCTTATGAATTTCGAATTTACAATGGTTATACCGCAGCTTATGTTATAGCGACTCCACTATCGTTGGTACTATCTGCTTACTGCTACAGTTTGGGTTCTGATAAATAAACGTTTATCCGCCACATTCGAATAAATAATTTTTAAGGTTAAAATTTATTTAGTTAACTATGCATAAAGGGTAACTAACAAAAATATCTTGATGGGTCACCTGATTTTTTTCATGTATTGAAAGAAGTATATACTTGAATAACCTGAAAAAGGTCTTCACACGTACATAATCATTATTCTCTTACATCCATTGAACTAACTTCTTTATAAGAGATACCAGACATATCACAAACTAATAGTATGAGTGATTAGCAGTGTGTTGGAGCATTCGTTAAACACTTGTGTTTTTCCAAAGATAAGAAATTTTCTTTAATATTCAAATAGCCAATGTTTAGTGACTTAAGTATATATATTTTTTTCTTTCTAGGGATTCAACAATCAACCTCCATAGTACTAAGAAGTTACGTATCTGAACATGGACTTCACGGATCAATAACTTTTATTGAATCGAACGACGAAATAGTGGTTACTACCGATCTACAGCCTACCTTAGAATTTCCCAGCTCTATATGGGCATGGTACATTACCGAATTTCCTGTAGATTATACTGGTATAGAGAATAGGTGTAGCCAGGATAAAATCGGAAAGAACCTAGTGACTCTGGACGACCTGTTTGGTTATCTCATCATACCAGATAATCAAAGCAGCGTTTTCAATTCTTCTGATCTCAAACTGAATGGCAGAAATGGGATTTATGGAAAGTCAGTTCTCTTGCATGAAGTTGAATCTGGAAGAAAGGTGAATAATATGAATTTTACATTAGGTAGCTTAATATTGTCATCCTATATTTCTTAGGTTTGTGCATCTATCACAGTCTTAGAAAATAAAGAAAATATAGCTGTAGCACGATTCAATTCTCCAATAGCTGGCAATGTATATTTTAGATGGTTGTCTACCAGAGATAATCATAGTGATATGATAATTAGCACTGATCTATATCATTCGCACAATAAAGAAAAATATGGGAAATATTTAGATTTCACAGAACATTTATGGAAAATTTATGTAACAGACATTTTTGACGACACGGATCGCTCAGAAGATAATTGTAATATCTTACAAGTAGTATTTGATCAAGACAATAAAGGGAATGAAAATTCAATTGGAGATTTAGACAAAAGATTAGGGAAAATAAAAGTATCCACTAGTTACCATAAACATAAATATAAAACACTATTTTATGATAAAGAACTGATATTATTGCCTGGCGATTTTAATGGACCACAAAGGAGGCTCTACTTGGTTATATTTGAGAAAAAGCACGAGGATGTCTTTTTGGCTTGTGCTAAAATTCGTTATGATCACCCCATAACTTCTAGGTAAGTTGTAAAAATTTATTTTGTTTTCATGGATCAGATCAGATAATTTTTTCTTCTTTCCGTTTTTGTCCTTCATCTATGCTAGTTATTGATTCAATAAATTCAATGATCTCAACATCCTGAGGTTCAAGGGGATTTGTCACTTGTTTAGTAAACAAGTTGTTTACCGTAATGTTCAGTGGGCATTTCTTATTTATTATTTCAAAGGAAAAGTGATTATTAATAGAAATCAATTTGATTTTGTTAACTATAACACTTTTTTCCATCGGAATTAAAATAATATTTGGTATTTTCGCGAAACGCCGATTTATAGGTACCTATACCTACTTTAAATCGTGTAAGGATTATTATTTTCGACTGTCAAGATAAGTGATAACCTGGGGAGTAAAAATATTTTTTTGCATTATATAACGGCGTAGGTATTTCCCATAAAACTTCTACATATATACAACTATTTCGAACTAATATATAATATAAAATTCTATATATATATATATTAATTTACAGGGTAATAATCCAGTCAGGAGGTATCAAAGGCGACATAAGACTAACCCAACAAAACAAATTTGAACCGACCTTTCTAAATTTCAACTTAACAACAGCTAGAGGTGATTTGGAAACCAGGATTGTATTTGGATCTACTGTAGCCGGGTACAAAATTCACGAATTGCCCATTAAACCTGCCAAGTCTGTTGGACAGAACGAAAACTCTTGTTTAACTACCAAATTTGTGTATAATCCAAGAAAAACTGACGTTGGTACCATTCCACCTAATGGATTTGGTACCCAAGACCAATACCCAATTGGAGATCTGTCTGGCAAGCTTCTCAACAGAAATAACGCATCCGTTGTGGTACCAGGAAGTCAAGAGTTGAACGGTGCTTTTTGGGATGTTTTTCTGCCTCTTCAAGGGGTTCATTCAATAATACATCGGTCTTTGGTAATATACAAAAATACCCAATATCCAACTTCTGACATTGTTGCTGAACCCTGGATATGCGGAGGGATAAGCCTCTATGAATCAAATTTTGAATATCAAAAGCAGATTTTTACTGCTCAAGTTTTATTCCGGTATCCCACTGTAGGTAGAATGTTAATGAGACAGGTCAGAGATGAACCTTGGACTGACACAACAGTTATGATTGAGTACTTAGTTCATGCTGATGGAGCCCAATTGAATAATTCCGCAGATCATAGATGGGCGATTCATGAGTCGCCTCCAGGAAAAGATTTTTATGATTGGCAGAATCGGTGCATAAGTGCTGGAGCTGTTTATAATCCTTACAAGGTTAGTTTTTCTCTTATTAAATATCATTGTTTTTTTTTATTATGGATGACTTATAATTTTTCAGATCGATTACGACAATACTTCTAGAGTAGAGCAATGTGATTTGGATGCTATAGGCCTATGTAGAATTGGTGATCTTTCCAAACGTCAAGGCAATCTGGAAATTTCAGGAAAAATTGCTGATAGTGATAGAGTTTCAAGGAGAATTTGGACGGATTCTCTTCTGCCTTTGACAGGGACTCATAGTATTTTAGGAAAGAGTCTTGTGCTTTTTGATGATCATGGTCCTAAAGCAAGAGGGGAAAGATTGGCATGTTCACGGTAACAATTTTAGTAGACCATAATCAAAGTAAAAAGAAGCTCTAACTTTTTGGTTATAGAATATCTGGAGTTTATCGACGAAAAGCTGTTGCCAAAGATTGGTTTCCAAATGGTGGAGAGCTGACGGTGAAAGGCAAAATAGAATTTCTTCAACAAACCGAATATGATATTACTGATGTTGAAGTTAATTTTGAAGGTTTACAAGATGCCAGCGGATATCACGTCCATATTGTATGTATAAAAAAAACTTGTTGCTTTATTAAATTTCAAAGCAATACAAAATTTAATAGACTCCCATAGAGGAAAACCTGGAATTTCCATGTGAAGCTACTACCCTTTATGGTCATTGGAATCCGTTGAATGTGGATCCCACCTCATCTCCTACCAAGTATCACGGTACACCCGATCAATACGAAATGGGAGATTTAAGTGGAAAATTTGGCAATCTTGAAAATAAAACTGTCTATAAAACTTTTTATAATGACACCATGTTGCCACTTTTTGGACCTAGAAGTATACTAGGAAGATCCGTTCTTATCCATAAACGGGTAATATAACTTGTTTCTGTATCAAAACGATAGTCTCTTCATATTTTGTTATTACTTTAGATTGGGAACAAAAGATGGGCTTGCTCGACTATCGAAAGAGGTTACAGTCCGTCTGAAGCAAGAGAAATTAGAGCAATTGCCTCATTCCATCACCCACACGGATATGCATATGGATACATGAAAATGGTAGGAATAATTTTATAAGTAAATATCATGCTTTAGATTGTAACAATAATTCTATTTTAGAAGCAACTAATCTACAAGGATGGGAGCAGTAGCGATACTACAATAGAAGTAAAATTGAGGCATCCAGGAAAAAATGACCGCAATATTGTACGACTAAGAATAGCTGAATATTAGGTTATTGAATAATGTATTTTATTTTATAGACGAGAGATCATAATTGGGCAATTTTCGTAAACCCAGTTGGAGTAGATGCAGCAGTAAAAACACAAGGTACAAGATGCGTTGCTGGTGGTTATGTTTGGAATCCTTTCTATACTCAACTGGCAGATCCACTCAATGTAATTTGTTTCAAATAAATAAACAAATAGTTACATTGAATTTCTTTCCAGGATGAACTTTATCGTCAAGAATGTGGCCCAGAAAATCCATTACGTTGTTACGTCGGAGATTTATCAGCCCGACTAGGAACAATTGATATAGGTTTGCAACGGAAAGTATTTGTGGACTCGAACTGTCCTTTAGAAGGAGATCAGAAAGCGGTTGGTAAATCTATCGTTATTTTAAGTCCAGATAGAAGAGGAGAAAAATATGCTTGTGCTAACATTGAACCTGATCACGATATTATAAAATATGTAAACGTCGAGCGAACTCCAAGATTTGTAGTGTAAGTCCAGTTATCACAAAAGTTGAACATTTATAATACTATTGATGTATATAATTATATTTTTCTATAGAGCACAGTTTATTGAAGACATACGCGAAGTTATGGGGATCCCAGAATGGTTCCTCACAGTGGACACCAGAAAAACTAAGAATTTGCACACAAATGACTGTGTTCAGTTGCTTCTGCATTTTAAAGGGCCCATTGCTACTAAATTAGAACAGGACTTTAACAGATTACTGACTATTGGTCGTTTGGAGAGTCCTTCTCTATATATACCTGGCTACACCAATGAAAAACGAAAATCGAAGATTCCGTATAAGCTTTGTGGGGTGAGGGATCCAAATGAAAAAAGTAAGTTCTCTTTCGTTTAGTTGTACTAAACATTATTTTTACGGTTGTGAAGTTAGAGCAGCCAGCTCAACTTCTTCCTGCAATTGCACAGAGTAGCAGGAATAAAAGGACAATGTTAGCTAGTTTGATGTTTATTTCTTTATTCCCATTTTTCGAGCTTAAAAATAAATTTACAAGACACCCCAGTAGGTACATTAAAAAAGCGCACACTAATTCTTGAAATACAACAAATAGCACGAAGAGCTCACAAGACAAGCGCGCATTGAAATCAGGGCTTAAAGGTGTAGAATTTGGTATAGCTACTACAAGATCAGAACACATAATTTAAACCAAACATCGACAACTCAAGCAAGAGAACCCCCTTGGACTTCCTCAATTTTTAAATATTGTTGAATTTTTTTTTTTCAAATTTGATTGTATTTATGAAAACAAGACTTCTAGTGAAATCCGAAGTACTATGTCGTCTATAGATAGCGCTTAGTAGTCATTTGGAGTTCAGTTCAAATACGAGATTTGCTGTGTGCATTTCATTAAGTGATAGGTACATTTTCATATAGACAAATTTTGTTCAATAAAAGTTGTTACTGTTTGTAGAGTGACAATATTTTTCTCCCTTATTTAGCTAATTATTATTTATAAAGGATTTTTAGAAATGAATATTGATTTGATAAAAGTGAAGCGAAGAAATTTTGGTGTTGTTCATGTTTAATTTGGATTATATTAGCTGTTTTCTTGCGTATGTCAAAAAAGTGAAGGTGAGAAAATGGCTCATATCCTATTTTTAATCTAAGAGGCGCAGATATTATGTGTCTTGTAAGGTCTTAGTGTTATTGTATATTCTTGTTTTTGAAGAATTAGTGTTCTCTTTTCCAATAATCTAAACACGTAGGCATCTACTCATGGTGTGTTTAGTATTTTTTACGCTTGAAAAAAATAGGTGTTTCTATAGAAACGGTGCTTCTTAAAGAAATTAAATAAAGGTTTTCATCAGTAGTATCCATTCTTTTATTTCCTGCTGCTCCAACTCTACTTACATATTTTTATTTTTACTATTTTGATTTTATTTTCAGCTTCAAGGAAAACCACTTTCCTATTTCAGTATTCTGGAACAACAAGCACCCATCACCACTTAAAATATGCGACTGTTTTTGTATCTTTATGTATTATGTTAATTAAATAAATACCTCACTTTTTTGGTAAAATTAAGTACCTACCTAATAAGCACTCGATTTGTAAATATTTATTGTATATTTGTGTGTGTGTATTTGTTCATATGTTTTTTGTTAATAAAGTGTTGAACCAAACTAATTTGATTTTCAAATATCATTGCACATTTTCAAGCAATTCAGAATTTGGTATCTTTTTTTTTTTAAAAAAAAACCAAAGTGTTTTTATTGGATTGGATATTGGTATTAACATTTTACCTGGTTTTTGAACTTGAAGACCAACCAACTTCTTTGTAAGAAGGGCAATCCAACGACCTGTCAAAAAGAAATTCAAAATGGAGGTCAATGCCATTTTATTTTTAAAAAATGCCGTTTTATTGCGATTTTTGATTTGTATAAAGTCTCTAAGTGTTGATTTTTTGGAAAATGCATACGTTATGTATTGTACTTAGTTGTGGGAGCCGTTCTATTCGCGAGAAAATCTCGTTTCATGCCGTTCCTGCGTCCCTGCAGAGCAGAAACAAAACACAGGTTTTTAACGGAGAAAAACAATTTGTACTTTGTAAGGGCTTCATGGATTGTATCAAAAGGGAAAAAATCTGACAAAATCCATATTAAAAAACCCAAAAGTCTCTCTACATAAACGGTGTATGGATCCAAGCCATTTACTATCCTCCACATCAACTTGTGTCGATACCTTGAATAGTAGACAAACAAAATTTAAAATATACATCAGGATTCAGGATTTTGTTAGGAAAAAACTAAACAGGAAACAAATCCTGGATAGTACCATAATACCACGTAGCTGAAGTTAGCTTCATATTCATATTCAGATTCGTGTATATTACAGTCGACCAGATAATTATTGAAAAGAAAAATTAAAAAACCGTGAAATTCAATCAAATACAATTTTTATATTATGTAGAGGATTTCTGGGATTCGGAAAAAGTAGAAATAACCCTCAGGCACATTCGAGGATATTTGCTCCAGTTAAGTTAGGTCTGGAAAAGTTACTACGAGGGAAAAACGATAATTTGTTTGAAAATTTGTGGAAAAATATTGATGCTTTGTGCAATTTTTTTGAAATTTGAGGATGATAGAGTTCGGTTGACCCATAAGCACAGTTCAGAAGAGTTTTTACAGTCAAGTTAGGACTGGGAGATTCATTACGGGGGGAAATCAATAATTTGTTGGAAAATTCGTGAAAAATCAATGATACTTTGTAGAGATTTTTCGAAGTTTGAAAATGATAGAGTTGACCGTAAAGCTGAGTACAGAATAGTTTTTGCATTCAAGTTAGGTCTGGGAGATTCGTTACGGGGGGAAGTCGATAATTTATTGGAAAATTCGTGAAAAATTAATGATACTTTGTAGGGATTTTTTGAAGGTTGAGAATGATAGAGTAGAACCTAAAGCAGAGTCCAAAATAGTTTTTGCAATCAAGTTAGGTCTGGGAGATTCGTTACGGGGGGAAGTCGATAATTTATTGGAAAATTCGTCAAAAATTAATGGTACTTTGTAGGGATTTTTTGAAGGTTGATAACGATAGAGTAGAACCTAAAGCAGAGTCCAGAATAGTTTTTGCATTCAAGTTAGGTCTGGGAGATTTGTTACGGGGGAAAGTCGATAATTTATTGGAAAATTCGTGAAAAATTAATGGAACTTTGTAGGGATTTTTTGAAGTTTGAAAATGATAGAGTTGACCCTAAAGCTGAGTCCAGAATAGTATTTGCATTCAAGTTAGGTCTGGGAGATTCGTTACGGGGGGAAGTCGATAATTTATTGGAAAATTCGTGAAAAATTAATGGTACTTTGTAGGGATTTTTTGAAGGTTGAGAATGATAGAGTATACCCTACAGCAGAGTTCAGAATAGTTTTTGCATTCAAGTTAGCTCTGGGAGATTCGTTAAGGGGGGAAGTCGATAATTTATTGGAAAATTCGTGAAAAATTACTTACGACTTTCCCCCGTAACGAATCTCCCAGACCTAACTTGAATGCAAAAAATATTCTGGACTCAGCTTTAGGGTCAACTCTATCATTTTCAAACTTCAAAAAATCCCTACAAAGTTCCATTAATTTTTCACGAATTTTCCAATAAATTATCAACTTCCCCCCGTAACGAATCTCGCAGACCTAACTTGAATGCAAAAACTATTCTGAACTCTGCTGTAGGGTCTACTCTATCATTCTCAACCTTCAAAAAATCCCTACAAAGTACCATTAATTTTTCACGAATTTTCCAATAAATTATCGACTTTCCCCCGTAACGAATCTCCTAGACCTAACTTGAATGCAAAAACTATTCTGGACTCAGCTTTAGGGTCAACTCTATCATTTTCAAACTTCAAAAAATCCCTACAAAGTTCCATTAATTTTTCACGAATTTTCCAATAAATTATCGACTTTCCCCCGTAACGAATCTCCTAGACCTAACTTGAATGCAAAAACTATTCTGGACTCAGCTTTAGGGTCAACTCTATCATTTTCAAACTTCAAAAAATCCCTACAAAGTTCCATTAATTTTTCACGAATTTTCCAATAAATTATCGACTTTCCCCCGTAACAAATCTCCCAGACCTAACTTGAATGCAAAAACTATTCTGGACTCTGCTTTAAGTTCTACTCTATCATTATCAACCTTCAAAAAATCCCTACAAAGTTCCATTAATTTTTGACGAATTTTCCAATAAATTATCGACTTCCCCCCGTAACGAATCTCCCAGACCTAACTTGAATGCAAAAACTATTCTGGACTCTGCTTTAGGGTATACTCTATCATTCTCAACCTTCAAAAAATCCCTACAAAGTACCATTAATTTTTCACGAATTTTCCAATAAATTATCGACTTTCCCCCGTAACAAATCTCCCAGACCTAACTTGATTGCAAAAACTATTCTGGACTCTGCTTTAGGGTCTACTCTATCATTCTCAACCTTCAAAAAATCCCTACAAAGTATCATTAATTTTTCACGAATTTTCCAATAAATTATCGACTTCCCCCCGTAACGAATCTCCCAGACCTAACTTGATTGCAAAAACTATTCTGGACTCTGCTTTAGGGTCTACTCTATCATTTTCAAACTTCAAAAAATCCCTACAAAGTTCCATTAATTTTTCACGAATTTTCCAATAAATTATCGACTTTCCCCCGTAACAAATCTCCCAGACCTAACTTGATTGCAAAAACTATTCTGGACTCTGCTTTAGGGTCTACTCTATCATTATCAACCTTCAAAAAATCCCTACAAAGTACCATTAATTTTTCACGAATTTTCCAATAAATTATCGACTTCCCCCCGTAACGAATCTCCCAGACCTAACTTGATTGCAAAAACTATTCTGGACTCTGCTTTAGGGTCTACTCTATCATTCTCAACCTTCAAAAAATCCCTACAAAGTTCCATTAATTTTTCACGAATTTTCCAATAAATTATCGACTTTCCCCCGTAACAAATCTCCCAGACCTAACTTGATTGCAAAAACTATTCTGGACTCTGCTTTAGGGTCTACTCTATCATTATCAACCTTCAAAAAATCCCTACAAAGTACCATTAATTTTTCACGAATTTTCCAATAAATTATCGACTTCCCCCCGTAACGAATCTCCCAGACCTAACTTGAATGCAAATACTATTCTGGACTCAGCTTTAGGGTCAACTCTATCATTTTCAAACTTCAAAAAATCCCTACAAAGTTCCATTAATTTTTCACGAATTTTCCAATAAATTATCGACTTTCCCCCGTAACAAATCTCCCAGACCTAACTTGAATGCAAAAACTATTCTGGACTCTGCTTTAGGTTCTACTCTATCGTTATCAACCTTCAAAAAATCCCTACAAAGTACCATTAATTTTTGACAAATTTTCCAATAAATTATCGACTTCCCCCCGTAACGAATCTCCCAGACCTAACTTGATTGCAAAAACTATTTTGGACTCTGCTTTAGGTTCTACTCTATCATTCTCAACCTTCAAAAAATCCCTACAAAGTATCATTAATTTTTCACGAATTTTCCAATAAATTATCGACTTCCCCCCGTAACGAATCTCCCAGACCTAACTTGAATGCAAAAACTATTCTGTACTCAGCTTTAGGGTCAACTCTATCATTTTCAAACTTCGAAAAATCTCTACAAAGTATCATTGATTTTTCACGAATTTTCCAATAAATTATCGACTTTCCCCCGTAACAAATCTCCCAGACCTAACTTGAATGCAAAAACTATTCTGGACTCTGCTTTAGGTTCTACTCTATCGTTATCAACCTTCAAAAAATCCCTACAAAGTACCATTAATTTTTGACGAATTTTCCAATAAATTATCGACTTCCCCCCGTAACGAATCTCCCAGACCTAACTTGATTGCAAAAACTATTCTGGACACTGCTTTAGGGTCTACTCTATCATTATCAACCTTCAAAAAATCCCTACAAAGTACCATTAATTTTTCACGAATTTTCCAATAAATTATCGACTTCCCCCCGTAACGAATCTCCCAGACCTAACTTGATTGCAAAAACTATTCTGGACTCTGCTTTAGGGTCTACTCTATCATTCTCAACCTTCAAAAAATCCCTACAAAGTTCCATTAATTTTTCACGAATTTTCCAATAAATTATCGACTTTCCCCCGTAACAAATCTCCCAGACCTAACTTGAATGCAAAAACTATTCTGGACTCTGCTTTAGGTTCTACTCTATCGTTATCAACCTTCAAAAAATCCCTACAAAGTACCATTAATTTTTGACGAATTTTCCAATAAATTATCGACTTCCCCCCGTAACGAATCTCCCAGACCTAACTTGATTGCAAAAACTATTTTGGACTCTGCTTTAGGTTCTACTCTATCATTCTCAACCTTCAAAAAATCCCTACAAAGTATCATTAATTTTTCACGAATTTTCCAATAAATTATCGACTTCCCCCCGTAACGAATCTCCCAGACCTAACTTGAATGCAAAAACTATTCTGTACTCAGCTTTAGGGTCAACTCTATCATTTTCAAACTTCGAAAAATCTCTACAAAGTATCATTGATTTTTCACGAATTTTCCAATAAATTATCGACTTTCCCCCGTAACAAATCTCCCAGACCTAACTTGAATGCAAAAACTATTCTGGACTCTGCTTTAGGTTC